TTGTGAACAAACAGAGATCCCTGCCATCCAGGATGCTTACGATCCAAGGAAGAAGGGAGACGGTATCAGCAACAAAAATGAATAATTAAATTATGAATTCATTAGAAAGTGAAAGGTGCTACGGGAAATGGAAAAAGTGAAGGGTAAGAGAATCAGGACTACGGTATATAAGAAAGAAGAGTTTTGCACGGTTATCATTTTGAGATATTTTTCATTCATTTACCCAACAAACATGTCTCTGCTTATTTGTTTAGCTTTTTCTAAACACAGCTTGAGGAATAACTCACGTACAAAGAACTGCACATATTTAATGTGTACGATCAGATGACTGTCAAACATTTATTTATGGAGGCTCTTTCATGCACAAATCACTGGAAGAGTGGGCCAAAATGTAAAGACAGGGTGGTCTGTGCATTCGAGAAGCTGACATTCTCTTGGTGAGATGTATTCACACGTAATTTTACGTAAGGTAGGAGAGGCTGTGTGCTACGCAAGAGAAACAAGAAATCTGGAGTGGAGACGGGGACTTTAGCAGAGAAGACCAAGAAAATGTCAAGAGGAATACATAGTTTTGGGGCTCGTCCTTCCTTCATAGATGAGCTGGGCTCAGAAAGGAGGTGGGCAGTGGGGAGTCAGAGAAGGGGCTGGGATAAGAGAACGGCCAAAGCTCCGCTTTAGGAAAATTAACCTGGCAACACTATAAAAGCTGGATCGGAGAAGGGAGAAGACAGAGCCACGGGGTGTATGCAGGAAAGTCAGAGGGAAAACACACCACCATTCAGGGAAAAAACAAAAATGTCGTTTTCCGCAACTAAACGGTTATATCATACAACTGTTTTAATTTTATTCCGCAGTGGGCTCTAAAGAGGCAGCCAAGAAACAATTGCAGTCAAGTTAATCAAAATGAAAATTTAATGTTAAATCCTACTGCTAGCTGCTAGTAAACAGTCTGTCAAGAGGATTCAGAATGATTTTCGAAGCTATAAAGTAGTAAGAAACCAGGGCCTGTTTTTGAGCTTATGTCTTTTTTGTTTTTTTTTAACAACTGCCTGCTTCAGGCAAAATAAGTTTCACAAAAATTGTCTAGAAGTAAAACTTAATATAATCGCTTAAAATGTCCTAGGGGAGGCCACTAATAGAGGCACTACATTAAATGAATTCATAAAGTAAACATTTTTGTGACATAATTAGCCTGTTGCTTAACTACTATATATAACATGCTAAAACTTATATATTTAGCTCAAAGATGTAGTGACAAGAAGTCTAAAAGCAATGTGTGTTAAATTCCAAAATATGTTACTGCCATCCTGAAACTTCCCCACATCTAGCATGCTTCTGGGATATGCTTTATTTGCCTGGTTTGACCTTGATCCCCTCAACATTAAGTCTTACACACCTATTTAAATTATTTTTAATGCTAGGAAAACTAGAATCCATGAATCCTTCTAAGTATGCTTTAAAAAAAAACAAATTAAAAATTATAAATAAGTATTTATAAGCTGGAAACACACAAATTCTCCTCCTGTGGCTGGTGGCCTTTATAATCTCCTGATGCACCTTTCTGATTTCTCCTTGCTACCTTCATGGTTCCCCCCCCACCCCTTTTACACATTAGCTATAACTGTAGGAGTTAATCAAGTTCACCATTTCTCTTTCCTTCACAATCTTACACACCCCGCACGGACTCAATTAGTTACGGACAACTCGCAAATGCATGCTCTCAGTTACCAACTTGTATGCAGCGCTCTTTGTCCAGGCTTTATCTTCTACACTTTTCTTTTTTTAAAGAGTTTTTTTTTTTTTTTCAACATTTATTTATTTTTGGGACAGAGAGAGACAGAGCATGAACGGGGGACGGGCAGAGAGAGAGGGAGACACAGAATGGGAAACAGGCTCCAGGCTCTGAGCCATCAGCCCAGAGCCCGACGCGGGGCTCGAACTCACGGACCGCGAGATCGTGACCTGGCTGAAGTCGGATGCTTAACCGACTGCGCCACCCAGGCGCCCCCTACACTTTTCTACCTGGATGTCCTCATGCTAATTCATTCAGCCATCCTACATTCATCCAACAAACACGTACTGAGCACCAGCTATGTTCTAGAACCTGGAGATACAGTATTGAGCTAAGTACCTGCTCTCATGGAGTTGACCTCTTGGCTGGGCTTTCAATCACCGTTTTTCACTCTTTCAATTCATTTAAATATTGCTGTAGATTAAACTTCCAAGAATACAGCACGGCTCATCAGACTGATTCTTCTACTTACATCTGCCTTTAGTGGTTCTCATTCATACAGAATGAGGCCTGAATTCCTTGGCTCAATACTCAAGGTCCTCATGATTGTAGATCATCAAAATATTGGGAGATCATCAGAATAGAAGACCTATATCCCCACACCATACGCTAGAGCCCAAAGGACCTGTTCTCTGTGCCACACACACAGTGCAGTCTCACTCACCTGGGCCCCCTCGCTTTCTTTCCTTGGTCCGAGCCTTATCTCCAATCCTCATTTACTCACTAGTCATCATACTCATTTTTGAAAGACCAGCTCAAATGCCACCTTCATGAAGGCATTCCTGATACGAATCCTAATATTTTCCATTTAAAATGCAGCGATTTTGTAATTTTGCTAATATTCTATGCCGAATTTATAAACTTCTGACATTTTAATGTTTATGTATGTTTAAATGGCATAATAAAAATAATTTAACTATACAGGAATTATAGGCATTTTTTTCCTTTTGAAATTGGTCTATATACATTTCGTCAATTTTGAGAACCACGGTTATAAGGACTAAGAACAAGGATAATTCAAGACTATAAAGACTGATAGACAAGATCCTCTCTAAACTTCCTGGTCTTACTAGCATCCACAGCAATGCCATGGAGTGGCCCAGATTCACTGCCCCACGGTCCTATTTTGCTTTTTAAACATTCAGATATAATGTTTACATTTATTTAGAGTATTTTCCCCCACAGGGCGTCTGGGTGGCTCAGTCAGTTAAGTGTCCAACTTTTGCTCAGGTCACGATCTCACGGTTCACAGGTCCGAGCCCTGCATCAGGCTCTGCGCTGACAGCTCAGAGCCTGGAGCCTGCTTCAGATTCTGTATCTCCCTCTCTCTCTGTCTCTCGCCCACTCACACTGTCTCTCTTGCTCTCAAAAATAAAGAACATTAAAAAAAATTTTAGAATATTTTCCCATAGACGCTGAATCTTATGTTTTTATGCAGCTTGTACCTATTCTAGCATTGTTTAAATTGTAATTAAATTGATTATATTTGAATATACTGAATCAGTATATGACTATAGTGCCTTTATATATGAATTACATAGAATATATCTCAATCAAGTCAAACAGTTGTATAATGTCTATAACAGTAGAATCCAAATTTCTATTAAATGCTTTTTTATTTTTAAATATGAAGCACAGTGTACTTGGATGACAATGTATAATGTTTTAATATTAAACCTGTCAATTTACTGCTGATGAGTTTTCTATTAAAGTTGGGCTGAGAACAACACAGACACATACCCATGTTGGTTTGGTGTTTTGCTATCCTCATGGCACAAAGAACAAATGTGTGATTTTACACAATTCTCTAAGTTGTGTTGTGATTTTGGCAGCTCTTATATTAAAGTGTTTTTTTTTTTTTAATTTTCCACATTTGTCTCTCGTTTTCTTAGTGTTGGCATCTCACACCAGAATAACATGTTTGGTCAGCAATTTGGGGCTGTATCTCCACAGAAGGCATGCACTTTTAATCCTTTCAACTCTCAGAATACCCGACTTTCCAATTTGCATGGTAAATATATAATCTTATATTGCTGATTATCTTTCTTTTTAAATTATGGCTTTATCCTCATTTAGCATGGTCTCTTCTCAGCATGTGAGGAGAATCGTGTCTGTGGTGGATATTCATGTATTTGTTGACTGATTAATGAGGCCCCATTGAAATAATCTGATTTGTTAATACACGTGTAATGAGAATCAGATTTACTGAACTTGGGGTCATTTTTATCTGTTTGGATATAAACTGCTCCTTATGTTGTAGCTAAATCTATCAACAATGGGTAAATTAATACGTTTTATGGTATCTGTTACTATTTACTACAAATCTAATTTAGCAGTGGTGCATTGTTTTATTTTACTAATGTTAAAAGAAAAGCTGGTCAAGTGACAACACAGCACTTCACCTCCTCATTGTTAACAAATAGTGTTGTTTAATTTTTTGTGTGTTTATTTTTGAGAGAGATGGAGACAGAGTGCAAGTGGGGGAGGGGCAGAGAGAAAGAGGGAGAGAGACAGAGAATCTGAAGAGGCTCCGGGCTCCGAGATGTCAGCACAGAGTCCAACTTGGGGCTCAAACTCACGGACCGCGAGATCATGACCTGAGCCGAACTCAGACGCTTAACCGACTGAGCCACCCAGGCGCGCTCCGTACAGTGTTGTTTAATTTTAATTATGTGTTTACTTGATCTTATAATCCTTTTCATGTAGACAGGAACCCTACTGAGTCAGTCATACACTCAAACCACTGCATTTCTCTTGCAACTTAAACTCTTTTTTTAAAGTTTTATTGAAAAATAATTGACACACATCACTATGTAAGTTTAAAGTGTACAGACTGATGTCTGATGTACGTAAATTGTGAAATGACCGTTAACATCCATCATCTCATGTAGATACAATAAAAAGAAAAAACATTTCTTCCTGTGTTAACAACTTCACTGTTGTTAATGACATCCCTAGCACTGATTTTTCTTATAACTGGAAGTGTGTACCTTCTGACCACCTTCCTCCAATCCCCCCTTCCCATTCCATTAAAAAAAAAAAATACCTTCAACAGCAGGGGCTGAGTACCAGCCAGGTTTCCTCTTCTTCTGACTCCTCCTGTAGTTAAGGGGTGCCATGTCCCTGTGTGAGCAGAAATGACATTTTCCACTTTCTGTCCCTACCCGTGAAAAATGCCTACAAACCATCCTCTATGCTCTTTTCTCAGGCAAGGGCTGAATATTGATTACAAGGAAGACCTCAGAGTGAGCTGAAGATAGCAGAGCTGCTGGCAGTATGGGCTCCTGAATCGACACACAGTGGAGCCAACCACCTGCCCGTGCCGTCTCCGCACCCTGAGCCGGGATGTGAGAAATAAACTTCGACTGGGACGTCGTGGCAGTGATGTGTTGTAGTTCTCCTTTTTCGTTTCAGTGGTTAGACTACGTTAACTAAAACATCTACATACAAAACTTCGACACCAGCAAAGACTCCCGATTATAGTGATCACAAAGGTTTTGTTACAGAGGCTATTCATTCTAAGTCCTCTTCAGAAATACAAAACTTGAATTTGCCAAGGTGGCTTGGACGTAGACTAAAAATTCCTTTCCTCATTCTTTTAGTTACATCTTATCCCATAAGCTGAGGGATATAATTTAATGCTGCTTACTTAGCATCCTCAAACACTGTCAGTATGTAAAGTCTTAGGTGTTTTTTCCAAACAAGCAATATTTACTGTGAGAAGAGAACATGGCACTATGATAATGTTTCTTTGTCCTAGGGGCACCTGGGTGGCTCAGTCGGTTAAGCGTCCCACTTCAGCTCAGGTCATGATCTCACGGTTCATGAGTTCGAGCCCCACGTCCGGCTCTGTGCTGACAGCTCAGAGCCTGGAGCCTGCTTCGGATTCTGTGACTCCCTCTGTCTGCCCCTCCCCTGTTCACACTCTGTCTCTCTCTCTCAAAAATAAACATTAAAAAAAATTAAAAAAAGAGTTCTTTGTCCCAAAGAACTACAATCCAAATGACATGACATGGTAAGTAAAAAAAGGATATGGGGGGTGGGGTGGGGAGGTAAAGGAGGAAGAAGAGATGATGTCATAGCAAATTGCTCTAAGACAGTTAAAGAACAATCATGAAACCATGAAATTAAAATGTTGTCTGCAATGAAAAAGCAGTAAGGTGTTCCAAAGAGAAAGTAATAGCAGGGAAGGAAAATCCTAAAAGAATTAACTAATTAGTAACTCATCAAGAGACAGAAAATATAAAGGGGTCAGGGAGGATGTGGTTATTTTATGTGCTTTATTACTAAAGCACAGGTAATAATTCTGAAATCTGTGGAAAAGAAAGCTCTAGGAAGAAAAGAAACTGTTTTTAGCCTAATGGCTGAAGTATTTATAAGAAAGAGAAGGACAGGACAGGAAGGATCAGGCATAGGTATTAATCAAATACAGGTATCTGAAGTCACTTGATAAGAGCTTCTCAAAACTCATAGAAAAGAGCAAACAAAAATAAAGCTGGCACAGACACCAAGAATACAAAGGACAATGGGTTATCATACCCCTGGGCAGGCACAATGAATAATTTTAGCCACCTATAACCGTCCCCTACTCCAAATACTGAACAACAGAACGATCCTCCGATGACGGGCACACACCTGCATCTCCACATTCATCCGCTTCAACAGGACAGTCCTTTTCTAGGCGATGGCATCTTATGACCGCTAAGATGCATCTTGTGGAACAGAGAAAAGCCTTGTGGATGGATGTGGGGTGGGAACAGTAGACAACAGCATTACTTGAGCTTAGCTGCTGTCCAGTTCTAAACACTTCTCAATTGCGAGCATGTCTGCTTCTCTAGTCCTGCCTCTGGGTGTCAGGGGAGGAACCTGCAGCCCTGAGGAAGACATTGGCTCTGACCCTGGGCCACACAGCCCTTGTAATCTTCTGGGGACCTGTAAAAACTCTAGTGGCCGGGAGGGGAAGGGCAACACATCGACCACTGAAACCAGAATCTCTCAGTGAAGTCCAGAGACCTGCATGTCCTGAAATTTCCTTGGGTATCCTATTGTGCAGCCCAGGTTCAGAGCACAACCAAGGCAGTTAAGTGCACAGGCCCTGGGGCGACATCACCCACTGGGGACTCCTTTCTTGCACCTATTGTGAGAAGGGGGCAAGATAAAACTTATCAGGTGCTACAAAGCATTAGCCACATAGTAAGCTCTCCAAAAGTGTGATTACTATTATTATCCTCAGATACCTAACGTTACAGGATTTTCTCTGGCTATGACACTTGCATAGCATGTATTGTCTGCTTTTTTATATAGTTTTTGCATTTTGCAGTAATTAAAAAGTAGCCTGTGTTATTTAGCATTTTATGGATATACATTGTATTTCTCCAATTAGACTGTGACATTTTTGGGTGGCAAGGACTTTTCTTGTTTTCTTACCAGCCCAGGGTCATACACCCAGCTGGTATCAGTAAAAGCATCACTGATGATTATTTGACATGGTCATTTAACTATTAAGTTCCCACAAATTGACACATTGAGCTATCAGATGAAATTAAAGGTATTTTCCTCTTTGTCTTCATTTCACCATAAAGAATTAAGGGCAATTCTATTTTCTCAGACTTCATTTTGTATTTAAGCCTTTTTAAAAAACCAGGTTATTATTGGGGCGCCTGGGTGGTTCTGTCGATTGAGCATCTGACTTCGGCTCTGGTTCAAATCCCATGCGGGCTCTGTGCTTGACAGCTCAGAGTCTGGAGCCTGCTTCGGATTCTGTGTCTCCCTCTCTCTCTGTCCCTCCCCTGCTTGCGTGCTATCTCTGTCTCAAAAATAAGTAAACATTAAAAAATTTTTTTAAAAACCCAGGTTATTATTTCAGGCTACTAGGAAGCTTTTCATCAAGAATGTTGACTTAATGAGAAGAACTTGTAGCAGTTTTTCTGTCACGATTCAACTCTAATTAGAAAGTGGCAGAAATTACTAGATATCCACCAATATTTCACTCACTCCTTGTCCTTGGTAATAATCCCCTTATATTAGCTGGGCACATGGCTGCCCAGAATACAGAATACTGTTCCCACCTGCATAACAAGTAGGTATAACACTGTTAACTAAGTAATAGTCATCAATAGGATATAGTGGAAATGTGCAACTTCCAAGATGTATTTTTTAAAAATAGCTTTCATATACCAGAAAATTCACTAACTAAAATTTATAATTCAATGGCTTCAGTATATTCACAGAGTTGCGCGAACACTACAATCTAATTATAGACTATGTCTATCACCCCAAAAGAAACCTCATATCCATTACGTCATTTCCTACTCCCCCAGCCCAGCCTGAGGCAACCACTAATCTATTCTTTGTCTATAAATTTACCCATTCTGGACATTTCATATAAATGGAATTATAAAACGTGACCTTTTGTGCCCAGCTTCTTAGCATAATGTTTCCAAGGTACATCTATGTTGTAGCATATATCAGCACTTCATTCCTTTTTGGCCAAATAGTATTTGATTGTATGGATGTATCATGTTTTATTTATCCGCTCATCAGATGATGGACATTTGGACAGTTTACAGTTTTGGTAGTTAGAGCATGCTGCTGATATGGACATGGGTGTACAAGTTTTTGTGTGGACGTGTTTTCATTTCTCTTGGAAATATACCTAGAGGTAGAACTGCTAGGTCACGTGGTAACTCTATATTTAACTTTTTTGAGAACTCCCAGACTGTTTTCCAAATTGGCTGCACCATTTTACATTCTCACCAGCAAAGAATGAGGGTTCCAATCTCTCCACATACTCTCCCACACTTAATGGTATTACCCATCTTTTTATTATAGCCATCTTAGTGGTTGTGACGTATGTCTCACTGTCCTTTTGATTTGTGTTTACCAAATGATGAGCGATGCTGAGCCTCTTTTCACGTGCTTATTGGCCACTCCTCTATCTTTTTTGGAAAAAATGTTTATTCAAATCCTTTGCCCAAGTTTAAATTTGTTTATTTATCTTTACTGTTGAATTCTTAATAGTTTTCTGTATAATCTGCATACAATTTCCTTATCAGATACATGATTTGCCAACATTTTCTCTCATTACAGGGACTGTCCTTTCACTTTCTTGCTAGTGTCCTTTGGACCACAACATTAAAAAATTTTTGAAGTTGTTTTTTTTTGTTTTTTGTTTTTTTTTGGTCATTTGTGTTTTTGGTGTCTGATGTGAAAAAGTGTTGCCTTAACCTAAGGTCATGAAGATTTATGCCTACATTTTATGGGCTTTAGTTCTTACATATTTACGTTTGTGATCCATTTTGAGTTAATTTTTGCGCATGTTGTGAGTAGGCATCCATCTTCATTCCTTCGAATGTGGATACCCGGTTGTCTGAGCACCAATTGAAAACTTTCTTCATTGAACTGTCTTGTCTCCTTGTCGAAAAATCAATTGACCGTAAGTGTAAGGGTTTATTTCCAAATGTAAGGGTTTATTTCATCTTAAATGTAAGGGTATTTCTATCCTCATGCCAGTACCAGAATGTCTTAATTACTGTAGCTTTGTAATAAGTTTTAAAATTGGGAATGTGAGTCTTCCAACTTTGTTCTTCAAGACTGTTGTGGCTTTTCTGGGTCCTTTGTATTTCCATATGAACTTTATGGATCAGCCTGTCAAATTTTTGGCCCTAAAAAAACCACGCTGGGATATTTTGATAGTAACTGTGTTCAACCTACCAATTTGGGGAGGATTATCATCTTAACAATATTAACTCTTTTGATCCATGAACATGGAATGTCTTTGCATTTATTTAGATCTTTATTTCAATGAGGTTTTGTAGTTTTTGGTGTGCAAGGCATGCATTTTTTTTGTTAATGTTATTCCTAAGTATTTCATTCTTTTTGATGGTATTACAAATAGAACTTTTTAAATTTCATTTTTGGAGTATTCATTGCTAGTGTCAAAAAGCACAATTAATTTCTGTATATTAATCCTTTGTAACCTGAAATCTTACTGAACTTGTTCATTAGTTCTAATAGCTTTTGTTTATTTATTTATTGTAGATTCCTTAGGGTTTTCTATATACAAGTTCATGTCATCTGCAAAGAAAGTTTACTTCTTCCTTTCCAATCTGGATGCTATGTTTTTTTCTTTTGCTTACGTAATGACTCTGGCTAGAATCTCCAGCACAACGCTGAAGTGGCAACCATGATGTATGTTTGGAGAGAATGTGCCCTTCTCTTCCCTTTATTCTTCCTGATAGATGGACTGTGGATGTGATTACTGGAGCTGGAATGGTACGACCATTTGGGACTTTGAAGGGAACTTAGGACCAGAACTGAATCCATGACATAGCAACAATTGAAAAGAAACCTGGGTCCCTGCCACCCTGGGCAACATGCCA